ACAGTTACCATCATGGACTTAAATAAATAGAAACGAAGGGGAAAGTGCAGATGGGTACACATGACAGGATTAGGCAAAGGCCTAAGGTGTCGTGTCTACAAAAATCAGGAAGTATGATACCTCCAGCTTTGCTCTTTCTCAAAATAGCTTTAGCTATTCAGGGTCTCTTATGGCTCCATATACATTTTAAGAATTTTTTTTTTTCTATTTCTGTGGAAAATGCCACTGGAATTTTTTTTTAAAAGAATTATTTATTTATCTTAATTCCACTTATTATGATTTAATCTGATGAGAGAGACAGAGAGACAGAGAAAGGGAGAGGGGGAAAGCAAGCCACCAGGTCTGGGACTAGAACCACAGTCGGCCATATGGGTATCCAGCATCCTTAGCCACCACGCCACCTGCTGGCTCTGCCACTGGAATTTTGATAAGGAGCGTATTGAATCTGTAGATGGCTTTGGGTAGTATGGACATTTTGATAATACTGACTCTTCTGACCCATGAACATGAGCTATATTTCCATTTATTTATATCTTAATTTTTTTTTTCCTTTTCAGTTTTACCATAGGGTATGTGTGCTTGCTGGGGAGAGAAAGAGAGAGAGAAAGTGAGAAAGCACCCCCTTGGAGGGCTGGCCATATTGCAATCCCTTCTCTTCCATTCTCCTCTTGGGATTTTGGGCCTGCATGCACGCATATCCTGTTTGTTCTTCAAGCTGCCAGTCTGGAACTCAAACCATAAAGTCAGCCATATGGGATCCAGCTGCCTTCACCACGCCACTGGCTGATCCTCTTCTTTAATTTCTTTCATCAATATTTTACAGTTTTTACCTCCTCATTTAAACTTTTTCCTAAATATTTTTTTTTCTTGTTAATGTAAGGTAAATGGAAGTGTATTCTTAATTTTATTTTTCCTTCTATGGGGTTCGGGTTGACAGAAAGGTATTTTTTCAACAAGGTCTTAACAATACTGTGGTCCTCCTGCCCCAGCCTCCCAATTATCTAGGATTATAGGTGCACACAACCATACCTGGAGTATTCAAGTTGGTCCAGGAACTAATCCTGACCTGCAACTTCCCACCTCCTCAAAGGAGATGCTATCTGTGCCCCACTGCCCTATTGGACCTCTTAATGCTTTATTCCAGATAGTTCATTAGTGTGTAGAAATATAATTAAGTTTTAAATGTTGATTTTGTATCCAGCAACTTCACTGAATTTGTCATGTCTAAAAGTAGAATCTAGCGCCTTCCATATATTAGATTATGTGCAAACGCAGAAATGTCTTCTTTTATAGTTTAGATACTTTTGACTTCTTTGTCTTGCCTACTTGTTTTTGTTAGGACTTCTAGTACTATGTGAGGATGCAAGGACATCATGGTTGAATGTTGAGAAAGGCTGGAAGCAAAGATGAGAGGCCACAGACCCACTAACCAATTCACAGAGTCCATCAGGAAGCCTGCCCAGAGTCCCTTGTGATGCCTTGCCTGTGGATCACCCCTAAATGGCCCATATCCACTCCAAATAAAAAAAAAAAAAAAAAGAAAAAAAAAAAAAGCCATACAAAATAACATTAAGAAAATAAATTTATTTTAAATCTGAAATACTGAAAACAAGGATAACAGATAAATAGTAAAAAAGCAAAAATTAGAACATGAATAATGACACACACATTCTTTCAGCTACTGCATATAAACACATTTTTACATATCAACATATTTTTAAAGACATTTCTTCAACATTCCCAAAAGACAAAAGCTGTAATGGTGACATTTATAAATGCAACTTTTGAAAATGTTTCTTTCCTAAAATTATTTGATTAAAATTTATACAGATTATGATTTCCTACACCATTTTTTAAAGATAGGACATAGTTACATGACATTCTTGTTTGACATATTATAGACAACTTTCATCCAAAATACAGAAAACTGATCAATTCATTTTCCTTTAGTCACATCATTAGTTGACCCTTTTCTAATCTACAAGGAAAAATACATATGACATACATGTATATGCTTTTCAGAAATACAGTATTTCACGTCTATCTTTAATTGATACAAAATCTCAGGAATTCAACAAGTCCATGATTATTTTAAACAACACTGACAACTTAAAAATAAAAACAATGATTTAGGAGGGACTTGAACTATATTTTTGTCCATTTATACCTATGATGTAAACATCAAAGGAAGCTAATGATTGGATATTTTCTGCTGGAGCTACCACTAACTGATTGAAAAAAGCTAAAAAGAGATTTGAAAGTCCTTTGTGTCCACACAGTATTAGGTCACTGGGGAAGTCATGATGTATTTTTTTGTTTTTCTATGCAAAACTGCATCATGGCTTTCCCAATGACAACCATGGTTAGTTGTTTCTCCAATTGTCCAGGAAATTTTTCTCTGTAACTAGATTTAAACGTCTGTGGTACAATGATATGATCTATTTCATAATAAATTATGTTTAATTTTAAAAGACCTTTGAGCTCAAACTGAATACATTTATTTTATGGATGAGGAAAATGCTGCCAGAGAGGTTAAATGACTTGTCCCAAGTTACAGGGACAGACAGTAGCACATTCTAAACACAGACACAGGGTTCTTGATTCTTAGCTAAGTTCTTTTGGTAACATATTCTCCAGGGTCATGCTCTACAGAATTTAGAGTCATTCTGTTGCAGAAAGTGTGATAATTTTGGAGACCAGCAGATGGCATAATGGTTACGTCGCCACACTCCCACGCAGTTGACCACAGTTTGAGTCCTAGACCCAGTGGATTAAAACTCATGCCAGGCACATGTGCATGTGTGTTCAAAATCCCAAGAAGAGAATAGAAGAGAAGGGACTGCGGTGTGGCCATCCCCTTTAGAGGGTGATTTCTTGCTCTCTGTCTCTCTGTGTCTCTCCAGTGAGTGCACATGTCCTATAGCAAAAATCTCTCAAAAAAAGAAAGAAAATGTGATCATTGCAATCTAAATCAAAATTGATATTCACTTCAAGGTTTTTTTTTAAACAGGGTCTTACCATGACATGAGCCTTTTGCCTCGGCCTCACAGCTGGGACTGCTGAAGCACACCACCACACCTGGCTCTTTCTTCAGACAAGGTCTCACTATGTTGCCCAGGGCAGCCTCGAGTTCAGGATCCGCCTGCCTCAGTCTCCCTTAGTCACTGGGAGTACTGGTATATGCCACCAGGCTGCCCTTAGGTTGGACCGGGAATCCAACCCAGGCCCTATGTAATTCCAGTCTTCAGAGCACAAGCATCTTAGCCGTGTGCACCACCACAGCTGGGCTACTTCAGAGTATTTCTTCCCTGATTGGCTATTTTTGTGTACATGGAGAGAATGTAAATGTCATTACTGTAAAGATACTCGTTACAAGCTTAGAGAGTCAGGACATCAACATTTAAATTGTCACTGTAAACAAAACACAGTGGTAGGCACTGTGGGAATACATTTGGTCCTATTCTCCTTACCCTGAGTATGTAAAAGAGCAGACGGTTCCAACAGCGTGGTGCCCACACACACCCCACAGTGAAGAAATGAATCCACCTCCCACCCCAGCACACTGATGGATCACATACAAGGGCACAGTATTCCTCAGAGGAGAATGGCCATAAAAATGGTATTGTAGAATTAGAATGGTTAGCATTTCAAGAGGTCTCCAGGAAATGGGGACACCTAGGCTATCTGAAGTTATAGATTTCCTGATTTCAGGAATCTTCAAGGCAAAAATATAGGATGTGATATAAGACATCACAAAATAGCCAATAACATATATGATGAAAATTTCCAATTCAAAAGCTACATATCGAAAAAAGAAGAGAGTAAAAAAATGAGTACAAAACTACTCTAGGTCAAGTTGGAGTGAAAAAATATAGTGTTAGCATTGATCAACGACAGGAAGGCAGCGCAGAAAGGAAGCCAAGACAACGAGCCTGGCTAAATTAGAACATCATTCGAAGACCAAAGTCATCTGTAAAATCCGTACACAGAACAGCGTCCGTCCGTTGGTGGTGTCTTTACTGAGTACTTTGTAACAAGGATACAAGAAATGGGAAACATCTCAGAGGTCATCTGGAAGTCTGATCCCAGTATTGCCGTTGGGTGGATTAGGAGCATCATGTTGGTATAGTATTAATACTGTGTTCATACCAAAGTGGCTTGGGCAGGTCAGCACCGAGGAAAGGCCGCTGACTGAGAATATACTGTACATTTGGTCTTGCTGGATATATGTCTCGTGGGTGACTGGACTCCATATTATCATTTTAGAAAGTCACTTACGCTTCCATTTTCTATAAAAGAAAAAAACTACGACTTTTGAAAAATAAATGTGCAGCAGGTTACTTTCAGACACAAAGGAAAACTAAAAATGGGATGCTAATTAGATAAACAGTAGTGTTAACATGATGTAAACAAAAGCATTTTAAGGAAAATATTCCTCAACAATTAACTAGTTGACCCCATAGCACAGTAGTTAAGCACAGTGCATAGGAAGGTGAATACCACAGGGCTGACCGTGGTTCAAATCTCAGGCCAGGTAGCCTAACAAACATGCCAGGCACATGTGAATGTGTGCCCCAAAACCTGACAGGATGAAGAAACGGAGGAAAAGGATTCCAGTGTGACCAGCCCTCACGTGGGGTAGGGTGTGCATTCTCTTTTTGGTGAGCACATGTGCCTTCTGGCAATACAAAAATAAAAAAATATATAAAAATAACAGTTAAGCAGAATAATTGTGCATTTAGAGCTTGTGTAATAATTTTCAAGTATCCATTTCTCACTCTGACAAACCCGGTCTTACTGCTCATCTCTCTCTCCAAGGGTCACCATGTTGTATTCCAGTTATCGCAGCGCATTCACTTTTGCTTTCACCTCAAATTGTTGATTCTGACTGCTTGGACAACATAGTTTTTGGTTCTTGATCCGTGGGACTCTCAACTGGCACCTGTGAAAAGAAGACGCAACTTTTGACATCTGGCACATGCAGTTTTAACAGATCAGCAGTTGACTTAGGGGAAAAAATCGCTGACTTGGTAAGATCAGTTTCACACTTTCTATGTATACTACTCATAAAAGTAAAGTAATAAAATATTCATTACTTACAGCTTTAATGTCAATATTTTTAATTCCTATATTTATGTTGTGTCTTTTCAGATCAGCCTTGATTAATGCTGAAACAGAGAAATATCAATGGAGTTACCATAACTGTTTGTAGCCTGAAAAAAATAATCATACCTCTCTAAATTACTAACTTAATTAGCAAGTCATTCATTAGTGAACATATACAGGACGCTGGGAACCAAAGGTTCTAAAATAGAAAGCCCAGTTCCTTTCCCTTAAGGACTCTCCAATCGAGGAAAATGCTGACGTGTAAAGTATAACACTAGCGGTGACAGCAATAACACGGGTATAAACAGGGTAGTGGGGACGTGGGGGAAAATGCCTGGCAGCTCAAGAACATCAGGAATGCTTGCCAGAGGAATGAACCTGACCTGAACTTTGAGAAATGAGCAGGAACTCGTCAAACTGACAAGAAGTGAAAGGAAGGCATTCTAGGGAGAAGACAGTTGGTACAAAGAACGGGAGATAAGAGGGCATAGCCTATCCTTGGTCCTGGAGGCAAGGTGATCACTGGGGCATCATGTCCGAGGGCAGGAGCTGGGGCTGAGTAGGCAGGTGTCGTGTACACCACGGGAAGAGTGTACATTGCACCTAGGAAGGACAGAGGTGCTCTCAGACCTACATTTAGGTAACTCAGTCTAACAGCAGCATGGAGGATGACAATCCACAACAAGGCCAGAGACGAAAAATCCTAGTGGTATTTTTTGGCTTTAATTTTGTTTTATTTATTTATTTGTTCAACCTATTTATTTATGTATGTATCTATGTTTCCTATAGAGCATGTGTGTTCGCCGGAGAGAGAAAACAACAAAGCGAGGCACCAGCTCTGGGATTTGAACTGTGGTTGACCATATGGGAATCCAGCACCCCAACACTGGCCCCCTTAAGTGGTTTTAATCCTGAGACATGGTAAGTGTCTGAGGCGTGAAGAATGGTGGTAAGAGGGGACGTCAAAAAGTTCATAGGGGACCAGCAGATGGTGTAATTGCTACATTGCTGGACACCCACATGGTCCACTGCAGTTTGAGTTTTGGACCCAGTCAGGCATGTATGCATACATGCCCAAAATCCCAAGAGGAGAAGAGACTGTGGCATGGCCATCCCCGTAGGGGGGCAATTTCTCACCTTCTGTCTCTCTGTGGTGAGCACACATGCTCTATAGCAAAAAAATCTCTCAAAGAAAAGTTCGTAGGAAAAGTTCATGCTGCAGAACATTTTGACATTCATGCTTTTTGTCATAATACACATTTTCCATGAACTTTTAAAGACTTCCTCACATAGGGACAGGTTTCAGAGATAATTTAGAATAGAACCAATAAGATTCAGAAATTTAACAGGATATGAAAAATATTGCCTGCTTGGGGAGAGAAAAGGAAAAAATTAGATGACTAGAGACTTCTCACTTGGGCAACAAGAAGAACTGGTAATACTAATTATTGAAATTGAAAAGACAAGAGAAACAAGTATAGTGGGAAGATGAGAGGTTCAGTTCTGGACAGGCTGAGCATAAAACACCCACAGGTCATTCGGGTCAGGTGAGAGCTATGTGACAGAACACAGTGGTCTGAAATGGGGCAGAGGTCAGGGTTAGAGACAGGCATGTCACCACGGTTAAAGCGATAGTTAACAGGACAGGCAGCTCAAGAAGAGCGTGAAAGTAGGAACGAATATATACGTTTGCGGTCAGTTAAGTAATGGGGGGTTACAGGTGTGTGCCACCATGCTTGGCTTTTTAGGGTGGGCCGGGGATGGAACCTGGGTCCCCCATGTGGCCTCCACCTGCCAAGGAGCAGTGTCCACCGTGTGCTACCACAGCTGGGCCTCACTTGACTTCTCACCACCACTTCCACAGAATAATAATAGCTAACACATCAGGCACATCCCAGGTGACAACATGACACTAGGAGCTTTTCACGAGCCACTTCAGCTAATCCTCAGCGTTACTGTAAACATAGGCTTTTACTATCCTACTACGATAACGAGGGAAGGAGGATTGGAGAGGTTGAGGAACTTGTCTAAAAGCCACACAGTTAGTGAGCAGCAGATCAGAAGCTAAGGCTGGGTCTGCCCAACTCCAGACTTTTCTCCTCTTCTTACAATAGCTTTGTTTCTGTGTAGAGTAAGTGTTTACAAAAAGAATTAATAGATTCATACCCTAAAAGAAAACAAATAATGTCCTGCTTTGTACCTTATCTTTTCCCCTTGTGTTCTGTCAACTCATTAAGGAGCAATATACATGAAAATTAAGTATAAAGACAATACCAAAAGAGTACTTTTGCCAGACAAATGCCTTAATTTACCTGTTAAAATGAGGCCTACGAACATCCAAACACAGAGGAAAATGTTCCCTTCCTTAGGACTATAGTCTGATGTGAGCTTTCCTTGAACCAATGTGAACAGAATTCCAAATATCTAAAATAGAATAAGAGAAATTACTTTGATTAAGTTAGCATCTTTAAAACAAGTAGAAGTTTCCCTCAGATCTTTTTTTAAAATTATTTTATTTTAACTTCATTTATTTATTCATTTATTTTATTTTAATTTGACCAGAGAGGGACAGAGCTACTGAGTGAGAAAGAGAGAGAGAGAGAGAGAGAGAGAGAGAGAGAGAGAGAAAGTGATAAAGCAAGCCACCAGGTCTGGGACTTGAACTGCGGTCAGCCATGTGAGAGTCCAGTGCCCTTAACCACCATGCCACCTACTGGACCCATCCCCCAGATACATATATATATTTTTAGAGGTTTTCGCTATAGGGCGCATGCGCTCGCCAGACAGAGAGACAGAAAGTGAGAAATCACCCCCAGGGGGGATGGCCACGCCGCAATCCCTTCTCCTCCATTCTCCTCTCGGGATTTTGAGCACATACGCACACGCGCCCAGCGTGAGTTTTAAGCCACCGGGTCCAGGATGCGAACCGCAGTCAACTATGTGGGAGTCCAGCGACATAGCCATTACACTAACTGCTGGTGTCCCGCCCCCCCGATT